CCCTGTGCGGAAGGGCCGAACGCCCTCCCGAGTACGGTCGATCCAAGATCGGGCCCCATCTCCACCCTCGTCCTTGCGCCGGTTCCTTGCTTGTGCCCCCCCCCCCCCCCGGCCATTGGCGTGGTCTTTTTCCGCGACCCCGGCGGACGATCGAGAGGCGATCCTCTCGTTCGGTGGCCATTCGACAGCCTCTTCCCTCCCTCGTTCTGTGTCTTCCTCCGCCGCTGCCCCTCCCCTCCCCTCCACCTGTCGTCCCCTGCTCGCGTCTCCCCTTGCCCCTGCCTCTTTCTTCCTGCCGTCCTTTCGGAACTGCCCCAGCCCCTTTGCTCCGACAATGCTCTCCTCGGCCGGGATTTTCCCCCGGAGGCTCGTCGCAATGTCGGCCCGGCCGGCATGGCGAGTTGTCCCCTCGATACCGCACGGCCAGCCTGCGCTGGCGCGCGCCGCCCCCTATGCCACCTTGCCCTTTCCGGAGACCAGCCCGGCGGCCGGGCCGCCCGGGTCCTCGACCGGGGATGTCTATGATGTGATTGTCATTGGCGGTGGGCATGCCGGGACGGAGGCGGCTGCGGCGTCGGCGCGTGCCGGGGCCCGTACTCTCCTCCTGACGCAGCAGCTCAGCACCCTCGGTGAGATGTCCTGCAACCCGTCCTTCGGCGGTGTCGGCAAAGGGACCCTCGTCCGGGAGGTGGATGCCATGGGCGGCGTGTGCGGCCTCGGTGTCGACGCGGCTGGCATTCAATTCCGCGTGCTCAATCGGTCCCGCGGCCCGGCTGTCTGGGTGCGCTGCCAATCCCCACTACGACGTCTTCCCCTGCCTCCTCTCTCTCTCTCTCTCTCTCTCTCCCCCCCCCCCCCTTCCCCGCTGTTCCCCTTCCAGCCGGCGGGCTGGTCTATACCACATACTCACCCTCTTCTCCGTCTGGTCCCCTGGGCTCCTTTCCTCCAGGGTCCCCGTGCCCAGGTTGACCGGAAGCTGTACAAGCGCTTTGTCCAGCCCTACCTGGCCCAGTACCCGGGGTTGGAGCTGCGCGAGGCCAGCGTCGAGGATCTGATCGTGTCGCAGCACACGGCCGAGACCGACGCCGCCCGGCGTGAGTACCACGCCCGGACGGGGGCCTCCTTCGAGCCCGGCTCGTTGGATGCCGCCAATGCCGAAGCCCGGCCGCCGATGTCCGTGACTGGTGTCGTCCTCGGTATGCCATGCGCCCCGCCTGCTCCCGCCCCTGTCTCCGTCTCTCCCGCAGCTCAAGTGGCCTGGTCCTCTGTCCTCCTCTTCGCCCTCCCCTTCCCTCCTCTCGCGATTCTAACACGTTCCCTGCCCGACCTGCTGTCCGGGACCAGGTGATGGCTCGGTGGTCCGGTCCAAGTCTGTGATCATCACCACGGGCACCTTCCTGCGTGCCAACATCTTCATCGGTGCGTGACGCCATGCGCGTGTGTGTGTGTGCGCGCACTCGCGTGTGTACATGCATGTGCGCGCGCGCGTGTGTGTGTGTGTGTGTGTGTATATTTATATATCCAGCTACATGGCCCTCAGGGGCGAGCACGACAACTAACCTGGCACGCGGCCCCCTCCGGCGGCAGGCATGGAAACCTGGCCGGCCGGGCGCATGGGCTCCGCCCCGTCCATCGGCCTGGCCGAGACCATGCAGAGCCTTGGCTTCCGAGTGGATCGTCTCCGTACTGGCACCCCGCCGCGCATCCGCAAGTCCTCCATCAACTTCGAGGGTTTGCTGGCCCAGCCTTCCGACGAGGTGATCATGCCGCTCTCCTACATGACTGACACTGTGCCGCAGAAGGTGCGTGCATGGTCCTGTTTGTGGGCCTTCTCTCTCTCTCTCTCTCTCTCTCTTTGTCGCTGCCTGTTCCTCACCGCCATAACACCATGCACCTCTAACTCTCCCTCCCCCTCCCATTCTCCTATCGCCCCGTGCGGCGCACGCGCGCACACACACATACACACACACACAGGACAATCTTGTGTCATGCTTCCAGACCCGAACCAATGCCGCGACACAGGCCATCATCTTCCCGCGCATCCAGGACTCCCTGCACATCAAGGAGGAGGTCACCGGGCCGCGGTACTGTCCCTCCTTCGAGGCCAAGCTCATTCGCTTCCCCGAGCGCCCGGGGCACATTGTCTGGCTCGAGCCGGAGGGTATGCCGTCCGCTGTCTGTTGCTCGTCACTTCTGCCTTCAGCATGTGTGCCTGCATGCGAGCGGGGGGGGGGGGGATCTCCCTGTCCCTCGCCTCCCCCCTTCTGCTGTTACTAACACCCACCCTCTCCCCCTGCCCCTCTCCCCCTTGGTCCCTTCGAAAAAAGGCCTCGACTCTGATGTCGTCTATCCGAATGGGTACTCCCTGTCGGTGCCGGTCGACGCCCAGCTGGCCGGGCTCCGCACCATGCCCGGGCTCGAGAACGCCGAGATCATTCAGCCCGGCTACGGCGTGCAGTACGACTACATGGACCCGCGGGACTTGAAGCGCACCTTGGAATCCAAGCTCGTGGACAACCTCTTCCTGGCCGGGCAGATCAACGGCACCACCGGGTACGCGGTGCCCGTCCGGGCTCTTTCGTTTGCTCCCGGGGGCCCCCTATGTCATGTCGCGGTCTCATTGTCTGGGGGAAGCTGACCGGGCTCACTCACTAATGGGTTGCCTTGCGCCCCCGTTCTGTCTGTTCATTGTCTCTATCTCTCTCTTCCCCCCTCGTCCTGGCCAGTTACGAGGAGGCGGCCGCGCAGGGTCTCATTGCGGGTGTCAATGCAGCGCGCCTGTCACACGGCCTGTCGCCCTTCATCGTCGATCGGGCGGATGCTTTCATCGGAGTTCTCATTGACGACCTCACCACCAAGGGCACCAGCGAGCCCTACCGCATGTTCACAAGGTCCGCCCTATGTGTGACTGCACATACACACACACACACACACACGCACACGCACACGTACACGCACACACAAACACATGCACACTTCGTGACATGCTCTTTTCTCCCCTCCCCGCCCCCCATGTGGCTGACCCCCTCTCCATGCCTGCCGGCGCCACAGCCGCTCGGAGTTCCGGATCACCGTCCGCGCGGACAACGCCGACGAGCGTCTCACACCCAAGGCTTTCGAGGCGGGCATCGTCCCGCCCGAGCGTTGGGCCCGGTATCAGTCCTTCCATGCCGATGTGGCGGAAATCATCCGACTCATGGAGGCCAAGGAGCTGAGCCCCCAGGAATGGGCCACTCACGGCATCACCGTGCGCATGGATGGCGCCCGGCGCAAGTGCGTTTCCTGCCGCATCCCGGCCTGTCCGGCCATCCACCTGCTTCGCTCCCCCTCCGCCGCCCCTCCGCCGCCCCTCCGTCCCTGACTGAAGCTCCTCCCGGCGAATCGTTCGGCCTCCCATGCACGACAGTGCCTTCAAGCTCCTGGAATATCCCACCGCGTCGATGGAGACGCTGATGGAGAGCGCCTTGCCGGAGCTGCGGAACTTCTCACACGCTGCCCTTGAGCGGGTTCTCGTGCGGGGCCGCTACAGCGGATACATCCAGCGTCAGGAGCTCGACGTGGAGATCTACCGGCGCGAGGAGTTCCTTCGCATCCCGGAGGACATCGATTACTCCAGGTTCGTGGCACACCTTCTTGTTTTTTTTTTTTGGCCTCCGGTGGGCCCGCGTGCTTTTCCCCTAACCCCCTGAATCTTCTGTGCATGTCCATCTGGGTTCTCTCTCCTCCTCTCCCCTCTGCTTCCCTCCCCTCTCATTCCCACTCTCACGCGCGCGATCAACAGCATCGTCCTGTCAGCCGAGACGGTCGATTGCCTTCAGCGGCATCGGCCGGCGACCATCGCCGAAGCGGCCAAACTCCAGGGGGTGACCCCGGGGAATCTGCTCCAGCTGGTCAAGCACCTCCGCAGCGTCGAGCGCAAGCAAAAGGTTCAGGGGCGCAAGGATCGCGAAGAGGCCCGAGTCACTGCTGCTGAGGCCGAGGTGAGCGCCCTCGCCGGCTAGCCGGGCTCTGTCCCCCACGCTATGCGCCCTGCTCTGCGGGGGGCATTCTTCCACGCCCGATCGGCGGGCGGGGGGGGATGAGCATCAGGGGCGCCCGCGGGTGTTGAGCCCGCTCCCCGGCTCGCGGTGCCCAGATGCCACCGGAAGGCGCACACGCATCTCAGGCCCCAACGGTCGGAGTGTCATTTTGGATACCCGGGCGAGGCCGAGAAAAAAAAATAGAATTTCTCAAAAGTCGTCGTGGATCACTGAGCTTCCGCGCCTGTGAGGTGCGCGCGCGCGCGCGCGGCGGGGAGCAGCCCGCGGACTCCCCGCGGGCCAGCAGGCGGAAAAAGTAGGTCAGCCGCGCGGGCCAGGCGCAGGGGGGCCCAGGGTCTCCTGGTGGGGGCGGGGGGAGCGATCGAGGGCGCCCCGTGCGCCCCCCAAGGGGGGGGGGGGGGTCAGGTCCAGGTGCAGCGGCTCTCCCTTCCGGCCGGCCTGTTCGGCGGCGACAGGTCCGATCGGCCCCTGCCCCGGCCGCCCGGCAGGCGGAGGGCAGCCCCAGCCGGGCGCCTGAGCAGCGCTCGCCGACTTTTGGGGTCACCACCGTCATCCGGCGTGCTCTCGGTTGCCTTCGGACGCGGTTTGGTCCGGTGTGCGGCCCAGGCGGCCGCCGCGGCTGCCACGCCGTGTCACTGCCGCCGGAGCCCGCCCTGATGCGTCCGGGCCCGGGACCCTGTGGTCCCGCCGCCTCCCCAGGGGCGGGTGTGAAAATGCTCCGGGGCAAAAAGTCCGCTCCGCGCGGTCCCCCCCCCCCCGCAGACTGCGGCAGGCTGCGACAGGGGGGGGGGCGGTGGGCGCCTCGATTGACCATTCCTGCCCCCGGGTCGAGGCCGGGGCTATTCTGGCCCGGGCGCGGGGCGCGGCGGGAGAATGCCCGCCGCGCTCTCACGACCGGTGTGAACGGGCCCCGTGGCCGGCGCGCGTTACATGACGCCCACGGGCCAAGGGTCCTCCCATGCTAATGCGGATTTCACACGCGACGCCGGTGCCGCCGCTTGCGCAAGGGAGGGACACGACAGGCCGAGGCCCCGCCCCCCCCCCCTCTCGGTAAACAACGGTCCCCTGCAGTGGGGCCGCGTGGTGGGGCCGGCGGCCGCGCTCGCGCGGAGACGTCTCCGGCGCCTGCTCCCAGGTCCCAGCCCTCTCCGGTGCTTGGCCGCCTCGGGCCGGGGGCGGCGGGGAAGGAGGGCGGCAACGGTGTTTGTGGGTCCGGGCACAATACAGCCGGCCCCCGCCCGGAGTGTGACTTGAATTCACACCACGTCACAAGGGGCGACCCTAAAGTGTGCGTTTCTCTGCCCACCCCCATTGGCCCCAGGCCAGGGGGACGGGCGGGCGGGCCTGCCGGGCCGAGGGCACATGGCATGAAATAATAACAAACACCAACGAGTCGCGCCCCCAACCAGGGTTCCCCGAGTCCCCAGGTGTGGGGTGGCGGTGCTGCGCGCACCGGCCCGAGTATGCTTGCGCGCTCACGCCGCCCGGACCGGTGGGCCGATTGCTCCGGGGCCCGGCATTCTTTGTTTCGAGCACGCATACGCGGGGGTGTGGCGGTTCCCGCCCCCCTCCGGGCGTGGGGATGGGCCGAAGTCTCCGGCAGGCTGCTTGTGGCCGACCCCAAACACCCCTTCCGAGGGGGGGGGGGGGGGGGTACGCGACCGGTGCCCGCGGGCGGATGTGCTGTGCGATGTCCCAGATGTGTGCGGCTTGATCCTGACCGGGTCCGCCGGCCGCGAGGGTCCGTGGACGGTTCAAAAAGTCCCCTCTTCGCGACTTCCTCCCCCCCAAGTCCCTTTCTCACTATTCTCTCTTTCCCCCCTCTCAGATCCCTTTTGCCAGGACGATAGAGTGAATCGCCGCACCACCACCACCGCGTGCGCGCCAGGGTACATCTCCGCTCGCTCCCGGCCCCCTTGCCCTCTACTTGTTACTGTCCCCTCTCTTCTTGCCTTTTGCTTTCTCCAGTCCCGCCCCCCCTCCCCCTTCTTTCCCCTCCCCCACCCTCGCCCTCCCATGCTTCTTCTCCTTTGTGCCACGCTGGCCCTGCTCGGTCGTCCTCAGGCCCGGATGCCTCGTCCGGCCTCCGTCCCTCTGTTTTTTTTTCTGACCGTTGCCGCTGCTCGGCCACTGCCCTTTAGAATCCCCACACACCATGTCCGCACTCGCTGCAGACCTGCTCGTTTATACGCTGAATTCATTGGTCGCCTCGGCGTCCGGGAGTGATGTCGAGGAGAAGACGCCCATCCAGATTGCCAGTCAGGTCATCGGTGTGTGCCCGATTGTTTTCTCCCCTTGCCACGGGGTATCCTCTCCTGCTAACCCCCCCTCCCCCCTCCCACCCCAGGTTTGATGTCCATCCTGGCATGGCTCTTTGCCCAGCTCCCGTACGCTCTACCGCCCCCGGGCGCGCCGCTCGCCGCCTTCACCTCCGTCCCGCGCGCGCACCCATTGCCCTCGGTGGCTGCGGTTGACTGATTCCCCCCCCCCCCCCCCCCCCCCCCCCCCCCCCCCCGGCCGCTGCCCCTCGTCACACAGTCAGCTGTATGCC